TCCTTTCTAATCAAAATCACTCCCTGTCATCCTCAGTGAAGAGGAAATTCTGACAGGATCAATGCCTTTCCAGAAGACATTTCATTTCAATGGTACAACATATATTGTCCAAAGTACATGATATCTAATATAGTTTGATCAGCTTAAATAATATACTTTGTTTGTTTCCCAGAAAAACAAGATTGTTCTTACTGGCAATCGACAAAAAAGAGGTGTTGGTTTAAAAGAAATTCTGTTATGTCTACCCAAGTTAAGTGCATAATACTAGCTTTGTATTAATATACCTTTACTAGTGGAATGGAATTAAGCAAAAAGAGACTTTTACCCTTTCTATCATTAAATAAATAGCTGACAAGCACTGCAGTGAAAAAAAGCAACTCCTTTATGGTGCTCTATTTTCCTTTAATTAGCCAGTTTTGGTCAACTTTGGTGAAGTAGGAGTGATGCTGGGGAGGGGTGTAGTATTGCATTTTATTTAAATGTTATGCTCTGTCTCACCCCTCCAAAATGTATGGTACATTCCAAGCCTGTGGTCCTGCCCTGAACCATCATGCATCTGTAATCCCATTGGCCCCAGTCTGATTCCGTGCCCATTTTCAATCCCCTCTTCAACCATGTGAGCGAGATCAGTCGCCTTCTTAGCCTTTCCCCTCTCTTATCCTTTCTTCCCTCTTAGCCCTCCTCCTCCCCTCTTGCCGGTGCCATTATCTAAATGGAAATACATACTTGGATAGCAGACACATCAGGAAATTGATGATATGGCTGAGTTACTAATGGCATAAACCATCCTGAGATAGAAATGCTTAAAAAAATTATATGCCACCAAGAGGTCTGCAATCTTACCACTCTCACAGAACTCTCTGGCTTACTCAGGGGCACAGATCACCTTTAATTATATGTCAAATCTAAGACATTACAGTTACTGTAGGGAAAACTCTATTTCTATTGACAGATGATATAACCTCATCACTTGGCCTAGAAGCGGAATTCATCCAGACATACAGAAATTCATAAAAAATGTTTCTGAACAAGCAAATTTTTGCCATCCCTTAGTATTGGTGGGCTGAAAATACTCAGTAACTTGTTGCACTAAAATGCAAGGAACAGCTTGCAATGCGAAGCCCTACTGACACAGAATCTGGCCCTCAAGGCTTTATGGTTCCCGTCTGTTCAGAAGACACTTCCATTGCTCCCTCATTTCTTTTTTTCCAGAATAACAAAAAAAAATAGCAGTTTCGGGGGTTTTTTTCTGTTTTTAATGATGTCTAGTAGATGTGTTGTTTTCATTTGTAGCATATGTGACGTGGCTTTTAGAAGTAATTTATTTTTGGTGGCAAGCTGCTGATGCTTGCTCCCATGTTGGCTGTAAGCAATTAACACCTTCTGGTCCACTATGGACAATTTCCCACTTATTGCTTTTTAAGGTGTTAAAACTAATCTCCACCAGCTCTATCTCTCATAGCTCCATTTCACCTCATTTGAGGCTTTTCTCACTGATAGCCAAGGTTTTTCTGTTCCTCCACTAATAATGACATAGGACTCAGAGGATACAGGCAAGTATCCCTACATGTTTTTGTTAAGCACAGCCCTCTGCTAATGAGGAGACTGAGGTGAGATAATATGTGTTAAAACCTTCTCAGAGGTGTTACCATGGACAAACACAAGTTTTGGCTGTGAAAACAACAGGCGTGAAAAGAAGCTACCTCAAGAGAAGGAACTGAGGATGACCTCGTTACCTGTTAAATGTTTGGCAGATTTATTTTCCATCACAAAAATCCAAGTTTAGACAAATTCTTCCACTTTTTCATGATCTGTGCCTGAGTGGTATCCATGTTTTAAGGCCCATATGAAAATCTCACAAGAAATGATCTCCTTCAATGCTTTTATCACTTTTTATTTCTGATCATGAGAACAAAGTTGCAATGATGATGAAAAGCCTTACTTACAAGGACTTCACTGCTTGAAACTATTTAGTCTACTTTTACTCCTTGAAACTTTTTTTTGGGGGGATTTGGTTTTGTTTTTTGGGTTTTGTTTTGGGTAGGTTTTTTTTTGTTTGTTTGTTGTTGTTGTTTTTGTTGTTGTTGTTGGTTTGGTTTTTTTTAACATGGAAATGAAGCTTTAAAAATTCAGAGATTCTGAAACCTACAGGACTGTGCCTCTCCAGTAGCTGATGATATGCTGATTCATTGCAAGGTGACAATCCAAATCTATGTATCCATTAGAGCGAGCACTGTGGTAAAATTATTTTGGAAAACAATCTCAACTCAATATAAAAATGTAGTGGACGCTGCTGATCCTGGGCTAACTTTAGCTGCTGGAAGCTGAGCACTCACTGCAGAAGGCTTCAGTCAGAAAAGCTCAGGAGCTTTAATCCTCTGTTAATGATGATTTTCAGACACCAGTGCAAATTCTACCTTTTCATTTTCACTCAGGGAGTATATAAGAACAGTGAGGGACAGCTAAGTCAAAGGGCATCCAGAGTAAATCAAAATTTGGAAGAAGCCTCTAAAGAAAGAGGACCTTTTTATGTCTTGAGGAAATTGTAGCTTTCAGTCCTAGAGTAAATTCAGGGGTTTTTTGTCTACCTCAAGTGACATCTCCTTAAACAGTACATTTCTGCAAAAATCCCAAGGATTAATAAAGCAATGAAAGAAAAAGACAAAGGGATGTAATTATTTTTACTGCAAATCAATTATGATAGTTTGATTTCTGAAGGAGAAAGAGAATGGTTTAAAAATTTTTCAGTCTTTCATAAAGAACCATACTTGAAAAAAAAGTTTTTTGATGATGTCAGCACTCAGAACAGAACCATCATTAATATTATTATGTGATTTCCATCTTTTAATGAAGCCCCATGATTAGAGCCGCTAGAGAAACTGCCTTAATGGAACAAACAAAGATAATGGATTTGAATAAATTCACAAGCAAAAAGACAATGTCAGGCTCAGTCAGCTGGCAACATTAAATGCCAAGTAAATAAATAGGCTGTGTAGTGCTGTACTGTCCAGCAGGAAAGTTATGCTGAATGCCTGGATCACTGCTTTCATAGCTTCTGTAGCAAATTTTATTTTGGATTTTTCTTTTTTGATGAAACCATATTTTTAGTGTTTTTTTGACAGCTCTTTTTCCAGACAATTCCATTGGTACCCTTTACATGTGCTCTAGTTGTTTGTATGGTCTGTAATCAACCACAGGCTTTTTCAAACACCTTCCCCAGCTCTCTTCACTTGTCCAGAAAACATTTTCCACATATTCCGAACACTTTATCACTAGCTCCCAAATCTATCATATTGGCACAACAGGTATTTCTGACAAACTCCCTTTAGTCCACCACTATATTTTTAAACAGAGTCAGAAAATTATTTATAAAGTACCTTTTAAATACATATTTATATATGAGTAAAGCAGAGTGCTTGAGAGAATTTTTTAGATGTCAATATACACCAGGCATCAAACATTATTCCAAATCAGCCTCTGTAATGCACAGCAGAATGCAGTATCTATAGGGGTATACCCTCTCACAAGCATTTTCAAAAAAGTAAAATCTATTTAAGAGTCCATATAGGGGTTTGCCTTCCACAGTATCTAAATCAGTCCAGAGAAGGACATTTCTGGGACAGAACTTGTGAACATCTAGGCAGTCCTACACTCAGAATAATTATTTTTAAACACAGTTCTCCAGAAAGCTACTACTAATAACACATTTTAAATCTTTGGCAGATTTATGTGGTGATATTTCCCCCTACACAAACTGAAATACCAAGACAGTGAAACAGTGCCTGAGCAATCTCTCCTTATATAAGAGTCAACATTTCCTTTGCACATTGGCTTTTATCACCTCTGCAAAATGCCAATGGGGACCAATGTTTATAAAACTTATGTTGTAATATGCTTAAGTGCTTTGTGCTGGAGTATTTAAATACAGAAGTATTTTTTTGCCTGTTCATTTTTTGCATAGAAATTAAGTCCTTGCTACTTTGGAACTCTTTTAGCATTGTATTACAAGATTGTACTATGAGTGAAGAACTTAAGCTTCAGGGTTGTTCCCAAAACATTAAAAGATCAAAGAATGATCCAAAAATCATTGTTCCTGTAAGAAAACATGAGCTTTTCAGTATGCTGATAAATGTACCACAGCCTAATACATTTTGTAGTTGTTATCCTCCACAGAGCCCTACCCTCCTTATGTCAGGAGAACACATGATATTTTTTCTCTTTTATTTAGCTTCTAATCTACGTGTTCTGTGAAGGTGAATAAATAAAATTATTACAAAAAAGACGAGTGGCTGAGAAATGTACTTAAATGCTTTCATTTCCCACACCTCATCTAGAAACAAAATCTCAAAGAAGGGAAGGGATGTGCAGGAAAGACACAACACCCCATAATATATATAGACTGTCAAAGAGAGCATCATTAGATAAACAGTACCAAAGCATACTGTAATGAATTTCTCATTTTGGAGGTCAGACCTGTTAAACAGGCCCCATGGCTAAGCAGTGATAGGGCCATGGAGCTGCTCTGCCCAAGCCTCCCCCAGAGAGAGAGCACCCTGAAATCTCTCCCTTCATCACCTACTTCCCAAAAGCTAAAAGTTGGTTGCTATTTCTTTCTGTCTAGTAAGTAAACTACTCAATTGCCATGATCAGCATCTAGAACTAGCAAGCTCCTCTTTGCTTGCATCTGAGCTCTCCTTAGCCTACGTAAGACATAAAGCGTACTAGTATTTCCCAGCAAGGCAAGAACAATCAGAATTCAAAAGTACTGATGTTTATTTTAACTTTTAGGTAACACCCCAGTCCTTGAGATCAAATGATTTGTTCCTCACTAATGAAGATTTGTTGGTGTTTTTTTCAGTTCATCCAATACGTATTTCTAGGTAATGCATATATGGAACAAATGTTAGTGGGATATGTTTATAAATCATATTGCTAGTTGTAGTTCTGCAAAAGCCTTTATCCTCACTGCTTTCTATAAACAGTTTCAGAGAGACACTCACCTTGTCTGACGGCTAGTGTTGTCGTGTAGACCAAGAACAGAAGGATATAATTGAGGAAGCTCTGAAAAACGGGTGTGTTGGCATGGAAGTCTTCTGACAGATACTTGCTTGTGAGACCAATGCCACAGATAAGGAGGGAGAGTACCTGGCCAAGTGCCACAGACAGCAAGAGATCCCTGAAAGGAATGAGAATAACAGACATAAAACACTCAGCCTCTTCACTAAGGAGGAAATGCTCATCCTCCTCGAGGAATCATGTTCAGCATTTCTGGGACATGGAACAAACATGATGCTTCAGTCAATGAGGGAACCTGTTGGGTATAGCCAACATAACATTTCCATTATTCCTGCTCTTATCATGAGCATAAACATTGTGCCAATATAGTAGCTTTTATTCACATGTTAAACAACACCAGATGGCACGTCCCTACCATTTAATTTTGCATTTCACATTTCACAAAGGATAAATGATAGTTTAAATCAACCAAAACACAGTACTGCTTCCTTTGAGCATCCTCCTTCACAGAAAGACCCAGGGTTATCATTCAGACACAGTGGAAAACACAGTTCTTTCAGGACTTAGCAGCCAAAGAGAAAAAGAAGATAAAGGAACATGTTTCATCATCAAGATGAATATACATTTCATCATATAAACTATTCTTTCCATCTACTATGCAAATATATTTATATTTTTTTCATCTTTCCGACTGCTTACTTTATCTTCTGCTTGATGGGAACAGGAGATTCTAATTTTCCCCTTTCTGTCTCCTTTTGGTTTGTTAAGATACATACTTTCTGATTAGGCTTTTTGTTTTAATCTGTTTTTCTTATTTTTCATCTCCAGTATCTTCTGCATTCTCCTATTACAACCCCATTCTCTTTCCCCACAGGTCTCAAATAGTTTGTTCTTTTGTGCATGTTCTCTGTCTTCCTATAATCTTCTCTTTACTGCAGAAACTGCTACATCTGAAAGACATTTTCCCTCCAAATACCTCCATCTCTTTTACTCTTCTTGTAGAATTTATTATCTAATCACACAGTCCAGCAGAGTCCAAACAATCCTCCTTTTCCAAATTTTGTCACAGGATATCCTATGCCCACAACACAGGAATATCTGTATTTTTTTAATTACCTTTAAGAGCTTCCCCAGGTCCCTCCTGTGTCAATACTCTCATGCTGGCCAGGCTTGCTCTACAGCTACAGCTTCCCATGCAGAAGAATGAAATGTAAAGAAGTGCTGCTCTGGTAGAAAAGCAAGCAAAAACAATGCCAGAGAGAGCAAAAGGGCATCCAAAGGGGACATCTAGTCTGAGCCTTGCCCACTGCTGCTGTTGCTGTCACCAGCCCCCAGAAAAGAGAAGCTGAGCTCCCTGGGGGAAGACATGAAGGAGAGGAGCATGCTCTGCGATGTCTCATTTGAGCTTGGAATGAGGAAAGGGAAATAGGCAATCCTAAGGGAGTAGAGGAAGGAGGGCAGCACCCTGCTCAGCTATAACACTATTTCATGTGTGTTCCCTGCCAGACAGTTAAAAAAATTATTGCTTCAAGGCTGCTTTGCTTTCCCTGACAGATTTCCCTGACCTCGGCTCTGTGTGTTTGGCAGTGATGAGCATCTGTGCTCCCACAACTTGGTAAACTCAAGTGTCAAACTAGTTTCCTTTTTTCTCATAAACAATCCTCCCACTAATGTGTTGTGGTGTCAGTCATGGCATGATTTAACCAAAGAGACACTGGAAAGCACAGGAGGCTGGGTAGTCATATTCAGCTAACATACCTCGCTGACAAACAGCCTGACACACAGAGTAAAGAACAAACTTTTTTGTGCTCAACCCTGTGTTTTGATGGGAGATTGCTGGAGAAGTAGCAAGTAAGACTACTACTGCTACCTCTGCTCTCACATTACTCACTCTACTGTGAAACACAACCAAGGGAAACAAACACACTCAATAGAGGTGACATCCAAGACCATGATGCAGATGCTGCCTACACTATTGATCCTCAGTTCCTGCTGTTACCTGCTCTGCTGTTGACATCGAATAGGAAATTTGAATAGTGACGGCAATTTAAATCCACATATTAATCTTGCACCCTTGTTTACAGTTCTTCATTTAGCTGGATATTGTTTCCTACATCCTTCTGTAATTAAGTTTCATTCAGGGTTGTCCTCTTGCCTACTGCCATTTCTATAGTTCCATTTCATGAGTAAATTAGATGTTTGCAAATCGGTTGCCAGTTTACATGAAATGCAGGTGTGTCCCTGTATGTGTCTATGCCTGTTAGTGAAAGTTATATTACATTCATTGGGGGACTGCACCTGCTCTGAAGAGAAGCATCTTGGATCCTGCTTAGATTTACATAAAGCTAAACACAGGAAAGGATTCTCACAATAAAATATTTCCTGCTCCCTAGGGCTATTAGCTACAGGAATCACACTAATCATTACATTTTTTCAGACTGGTGGGAAGTTTGATAAGGTCTTTCAAAAGGCATATTTTTTAGCTCAGTTCCCTATATTCAGGTGTGTCCCCAGGTCTAACCAGTCTGTACTGACATTTTCATTAAAAATCCAACCAATAAAACCTGAAAAACACCAGGTAAATTCAAAGCTGTGTTTGATAGCTGTAGCCCTCTCTGGTGTATGTTTTGATTCTCTCATTGCTATTTTGCTATTTATAAAACAACTGTATTTTTTTATAGTCAATTCTTTGCCAAGTCATTCAACCACATCTACAAGTGGCAGTTTTCCTAAAGAGTCTACAGCACACACACACATAGAGCCTGTCTTCAGCTTCCGTATTTTACAATTCATAAACTTATAAACAAGAAGGTAATTCAAATTTTATGGTCTTATTCCTGAAAAGTCATTGAGAATATCTTTCTATGTCTTCTGTCAATTTTAAAATATGTCCAGAAATCCACTTGCTATTGTATTATTGCAGTCATCAAGGAACTAAGGAACACAAAGGAGTTCAATTTATGGACAAAAAAAAAATCAAGGCTGTGAAACTAAACACCTCCAAGTCTGTAAGTAAAGGTTGAATGTGTATAATGTCTGTAATTTGAAAGCACTTTTGAGTAAAAATTGTCTTTTAGAAAAAAACTGAATGCAAAAACTGCAGAAAACTGCTTCGTGGGAGTCCAAATAATACCATCAATATCACTGTCTTTCAAAACACTGACTACATAAATGATACTGAATACACACATACTGCTTGTCTCTGATTTTGGCACACATTTGGTATTTCTGATTATGTAAGAAAACTCATTCTGAAATCAAGCTGTTGTGCTTCTCTTCCAGTCAGGATTTAGTTAAACATTTCACAGTTGATGGATGACACAGAAATACAAATCTTTTATTCTTATTTCATCAGTGCAAAGAGTAGCATGTTAGATGTTTAAGCAGAACTAATTCAAGCGCCCATTAAATGCTCAGACTTGAAGCATTTAAGGTGATCTATTTTACAAAATTTAACTGTTCATGCCCACATTAAACTCTCCTGCCACACCTAGTAATATGCCCATTCCAGACATGAATGACAAGCAGTGGCACAGAAGATTTTGTGTCCTCCCCTTCTCTCACCACTGTATACTCTGACACACCATTGTCATGGAAAACAATAATGAAATGAAAAGTAAGAGAAAGCAAATCACAAGATCAATAAAATGCTCATTTTTGCCTTGGCTGAATGGAAGAGAACAACTCATCTTTCTCCAAACAGAAAAGTAGAAACAAATCTTAAATTACTTGTTTAAATTGGTGACAATGTCAGCAGCAATACAGAAAAATACAGTTTTTCATAAACTTAATAACCAATGTAAGATACCTGAATTTTATAAAAAATGCTGGTAACATTAACTGTATTTAATTTTTTTTTTCCTGCAAACGATGATCTAATAATACAAGAGTCTTAATTCCTGAGCCTTTAATACCTGAATAAGAATAATAAAATTCCCATTCTTTTTAAGAAGAAGCATCAAGCAAACACTGAAAAGAAGATTTCAATGGCTGTGGAAAACCTACTATTTCCTTTAGACAAAGTAAAAAGACAATAACTCAGTGCTGTCATCTCTGGCACTCATAAGTATCTTCCCCAAAAATCATAATACTGTTGAAATATGCAACATGTCTCTTATCTGCAACACTTTCTGTGTTGCTTTTCATATGCTCCACCACTCAGAGACTGGCACAAAGGATGATTTCTTCCCTAAGCCTTTGGTCTATCGTGCTGGCTTCAGTAGCACATTCATTTACTGAGGAAGCAACATTCATTCATATCTTGAAGAAAGGCTGTGTAGTTTGATGGCCTTCAAACAGTACACCAAAAAGAGAGTCTCAGTACAAAAAGCTTTATAAAAGTGAGGGTTTCTACTTTTCAGGATCCAATTTCTCTTTAGCTGAATGCTATTCTATTTCTCTACTTGTATTCTATTTAAATCAAAACACAGCAATTCTTCAAAAATCCCATTTTCCCTCAGTAACACCAACAGTACATTCTCAAACCAAGTTTAAACAGGGAAAGATCTTCAGCTTGTAGTTAAGGTTTGATCTCATAAATGCATAGAATCATTGAATCATTTAGGTTGGAAAAGGTCATTTAGTCCAACCATTAACCTAGGATCAGACTGGTATTTTGAAGTGAGAAGTAGGTCAGAATTACTCCTAAATCTCCAAGTGTCATGTTGCTAAGTAGGTTTTTCACAGCATACTAACAGAATTTTAAAAATACTTCTTTATTGTCTCTTTAGAAGTGGAGGCAGAAGACAAAGCCTCATCTTGATGTTGGGAGCCACTTAGTTCTGTTTAAATGTCTGGGCTGGTAGCTGCTGTGCATCCTTTTTACTTGTTCCTCCAGGCTTATGGAAATTTCTGTCACTTGAGTATCTCCTTTATCAACCATGACAAAGCCAAACTTCTGAAGGCAGACATTCTCATATCAAAGAGCTCTGGAGCTAGTGCTTGCTTCCTTGCACACACACACTGGTGTAATAAAGTGAACTAAACAGCTATCTGCAGGTTATCCTGTAATTATTTTTCATGAAGTTAAAATATTTAGTTCTGAATACTAGTTCATTCCCATCTCCTCCCCAGAACACAGAAACACTCTTCACAAACAAAATCAAGGCAGTGCAACATTGAGAAGGAGCCACACAATCACAGCTGCTGTCTACTGGAGAA